TACTTTTCTGGGCAGGGACATTTTCTTCATTTTAGGGGTGGTCTGCTTCTGGTGAAAATTTCTCAAAAAATGACATTGGTCAACCCCCCCCGAAAATTGAAAGGAAAATGAAAGGGGACATGTCGATCATCGTATTTCTGTGCAGCCTGGACACCTGTGAGAGTTGTGAGTATTTTTTAAATTATTGCAAAGTGTGGGGATTTATCATTGCAGTCTATGGGAATTTAATTGTAGTGGTACACCCTATATTGTATTGTTTCGACCATTGATCTCCATTATTCGACACAACACTGCACTGTACAAGATCGCAACTTGCTGTGATAGACAGCATACCCATGGCGCGTAGTCCTAGTCAACTACGGAGTTGGATGAACTACTACTATGCGAGAACAGCACTGCTCAGTTGTGGCATACATAGTGTGCACGGACCTCTGCACAAAGGAAGTCCACATAATGTAGGGTGCGATGGCGTAGTGTGGACTCGCACACGTCCACACAATGTTTTCCTCTCTCTGAAAAACAGTTTCAGAGGCATTTTTAGGTTATCTGTGGCAAAATGAAGAGGAACAGTCCAGGAAATCATGAAAAATCCAGCTCGAAGGAGTTGTCCTAGTTAGAGAAAAAGGAGCATTTTCCTCAAGTTTCCTTAACCACAGAACAAAGGCATGTCCACACTTTGTATGTGAAACAGGTATGGGTGTGTGGACGTGTGCGAGTCCACACAATGCCATCACACCCTTTTGTGCAGAGGTTCACAGTATGTATGCACACCAGCACACCGACGTAGGCTGGATATGCCACTGGGGTCAATGTACCTAGTACTTTTTATTTCAACCGCACGGAAACACCAATTTTACCGATGAGTGCCAAAGATTTGACCTCTAGTTTTTAGTTCAGCCGTACGTGTTCATGCTGGGAGGTTTCCCAGTCCAAATAAAATCCCCCTAGCCCCATCTCTGAGGGGGCTTTGGCCCCACCACCCCTTGGGGTCCCGGGGTGGCAGCAGTCCTTCTCAATAACTATTGACCTTTTTCACCCACGTGACTAAATGTAAACAATACTACCACGTGTGGACTGCCTTGGCCACTGTGATCGCACATATTCCTACGGGCAGCTTGAACCACATGCAAGCGTACATGCGAAGGCTGCATGCTTGACTAGCTTATCTTAAATAGGTAGATTACCATCACAACACGTTTCACTCATTACCATCACAACAAATCATAGGTCCAGCACGATCCTGACATTGCAGGAAAAAGGTCTAAAACCTCCCAGCCCATGTTCAGAGCGGGGGCCGAACTCCTAACTAGAGACTAGTGGGGCCATGGTATACCAGAAGTGCCATAAAAGGCCAGCATCATTGTGAATGGCTCTTTGTCGGCTCATTGCGACGCTTCGGAAAAACTTGTCTCGGGGAGATCCATAGTAAGCGTATATTCAGGAATTCTCCGATTACTAAACCCTGACGGGAGGTGTGGCATAGGGACCCAGTCCAAGGCTTATCTTTGCGAGCCTTGCAGAGCCGACCAGGGTCAAAGTATCTCATTAGAGCCAAGATATTGGCTGTTTTGGGCACCGTCCGAAACAGTTATTGTTTTTGTTATTTTTTTTTAATTGCCTTTTTTGCAATTTGCAAAAAAGGCATTCTTTTTGTCAAGATGATGATGATGATGATCCTCCTTCTCCTTCTCCTTCTTTTTTGTTTCTTCTTCCCACGCCTTTGTACTCCGTTTTTCTTTGCGGCACCTTAGTCTCTTTGCAAGGGTCAATCTTCATCAAATTTGCCTCAAGCAAAGACCCTATTGCAAAGATGTGCCGCGAAGCATGACGCCATGATGATGTCATCAAGTGATTTATTATTGATTTTGAAGTATTTATTACAGCCTAGTCCATTTACTTTTACACGTTTTCGAGGCACTATTTCGGTACTTTAGTAATCGTTGATCTTTGTGAAAATTACAGCAAGCACTGACTATAAAACGAAGATAACGATGTCATCAAGTGATTTATTATGTAATATTGAATATTTAAATATTTTATAAATTTTCATATAAAATCAACCGTAAACTCCCGCAACATTCTGTTTGCTGCAAATGGCAAGATAAAATGTGGTCTAGCATTCATCTCGTGTGGGTCAAATCACGTTACCCTTCCTTCCGGTCGAAACCAAAAGTGGTCTATGGTTAAAAAATGGTAATAGGTATCAGGCTGTTTTCAACTGTGTTAGTCTGTCAGGGTATTGTATTCTTCAAATCATCTACTGATGACATCACCTAATTATCGAGCGCACTCTAGCGACAGGTTGAAAATTCTGAGAAATGAATTTTGAATAGATGTCTGTGGCGAAGGTTGTCCGAATCGCCGGAAAATTGATGTAGATTATCATCTTTACCCTTTCAACACGTGTGTGAAGATTGGGGCTAATGAAGTTACAATAAAAACTTATTTTATTCTGATGTAAACGTGAATTGTGCATGAGATGACAAGTAAAACATTGGAGTCAGCTGCATGAAATGCATAACTGGTGTACTTTTTCACACACGTGAAGCGCCGCAGACAAAAACCCCCTTAAAATTTAAATTGCCAACTCGGAAATCCCATTTCACACAGAGCTGTGCATATGATACTGTGTACAGGTGTGTGTGTGTGGACGCCCAATATCTGCAAGCGACATGGACGGCGCAGAGTGCATAGGGTATATGCTAGACTCGGGACTTGACAAAATGCCGACCACGTGCTGCCGAGAGCAGATTGCATTGTATGGAACACCAAAAGGGACAAATGTTTAAAAATCTAATCTATGCCTTTTCCGCGGTAAGTATAATATTTGGATTATATTGTAGCGTGTCCCGCTGAACCGGGTTCGACGCTGTAAAGAATGATACTTGGCCGCAACTTGCTATTTTTGTCAGGAAAATCTCTCGTCCACAATAAACCGTCTTTTTAGCTC